GCACCAAGAATATGAACTTTCTTCTGGCTTTTGAGCTCTACAAATCTGTCGCTTATGTCATCATTGTCTTTTGGTGGCGCCTGCACACAGGCTATACTTGGTGAGTTTTATTGGCTTCGTTAGAACATGCACCTGCCTTGTGTCTAGTCGGACCACATTTAAAACATATAGTTACACTGGGATGCGCAAAGTTGGCTAGGCAACTGTTAGTGCGATGACCCACTCGGTTACACAGAAAGCAACGCGTAACACTTTCCGGTGCACGCTTCTTTTCTTCAAGTGCCGATTTCTTCGAACCTTCAGAACACTTCTCCTTAACCTTGGCCAATATGTGCCCCCTTGTGCTTCCAAGAATTGATCGGCCTTTCAAGCATGTCTTAGAGTGACGTACCTCTCCTCTTTCAAGTACAGTGACAGGCTTGGCTGGCAACTGATGAGAAATTGCTCTCGGATAAGGAGCTCTCCAAGCTCAACGACCTTCTGTGCTGTCCCTCAAAGTTCAATCGATCTGTAAAAATAATGGCTAAGTACTGCCATATTCCCAAGTATGGCAAAATCAAAAACATACCAACGGGCACACTTGGCAATAATCCAATCACAAGATACTCAAAACAACGTATTCTACAACCCAATTAGATATAATCACAACAATGGGCACAAATAACATGCGCTACAATATAATCTCATGCATTAGCTAACTAAGACACTGGAATGTATTGTAGTGAAACCTCGGTGTTGTTTAAGCTAGACACATCTGATGACCATCCAGACGAAGAAATGTGGGAGCCATTCCACAAAGGCAAGCGATGACAAGTCGACATGATGATTTCGGAGAGCACTCATTGGGGGTTTATTTATCTAATACAACTTAAATTTACACATTGCACTAAGTCACAAATGTAAAACATGGAAAATGATGGTATACTTCTCGGCTTGCATGGCTGGTCTTCGGTGGTGAGATGTGCTGTTAACCACGAGTCCGCTCTCTTTAAAAAGAGCCTGATTCGCCGATTAAATATGGTTCTCCAGCATCCACGAGTGCACGGACCACGCGGAAGACCACTGTATTGCACCAATTGGAAAATGGCCTATACGGACCAATCAGGCAAGCCGATGATAACCAATCCCAACATGAGTTTTTATGGTCACGTGAATCCTACCTCGCAACAAAACTGTAGCAGCTTCATCAAACGGGCACATTCTCTAAAGCAGCCTTGGCGTGCTAACAAGTGCTAAAATTTCGGTCCCCGATTGCCCCGGAGGACCCAAGTGGTGGCCCGCTCGTTTGGAGTGTGGGGCGCACAGTGACCGACCAGATGCAGCATTTTCTCTTCAGACTCTCATTCTTCTTCGAGGCTACCTCCTCGAGAAAGTCGTTAAATAGCGCCTCTAACAAGAGCATCTGGCAAAGAAAGAACTCCAGCTGTAGTTGAAAAAGAAAAAAGCTTTCCGTGAGACATTGCCTTCGCGACAGTATATTAAACGAATTCCGTCCGAAATCCTCGAAACAAAACTTGAATGCTTCTCTTCAAGAAAACACTCACTCAAAGTCCAGCGCTGCTTGTTGCCCCACTGATGTTTCTCTTACAAGAAACTCTCGCGTCGTCAATGTCCGCACATCAACTTTTCGCCGGAAACACGTCGGCCACTCCCGCGCTGCCACTGCAGATCGTGTCTTCACCCACTGACGGTAAACACACACTCTTCTCCTGCTTTAAATGCAAGCTTCCACCCACAGGTGGAAAACCTCTTCATCTCGTATGCTTAGTTACTGTAGAACAAGCACTTTGCCTGAAGATGGCAAACTCTCTTTATCTCCTGCTTTGTCACTGAAGACACAAACCTTGCCTGACGGCGGAAAATACACTCAGCCACTCTTCGAACGCTGGCGCGAAACTCTCTTCATCTCCTACTCTATGCACACTGACGCAAACTATCTTCATCTCCTGTTCACCACCATCCGCTGCTCGCTTATATACGTTCGCCCTGAGTTCTAGAAGTTTTGTCGGCGCGCCGCACAGCCAAAGCTAGGGGACGGGCAAGCTTTTTTCAAAAGCTCTGCGACACGTGACGCAACCAGGGAGTGATTCATGCCTTCCTTTTCGAAGCTTCCAGAATTCGCTTGGCAATAGATGCGAGGAGGTTGGTCAGGTTACGCAGCGACTTCGAGAGGATGAGGCGGTGCGCCCGAGGAGTTCTTTCATGCTTGTTTTTCTTTTCACTGGATTCTGTCGCGTTAGTCTGGTGCTTTAATTTCACGTAGGAGTTACAATTTCGAGGCGCACGTTTTGTGGGAGCTCGTTTATGATACTGAGCATGCAAGCATTTCATTAGGGTAGATATACCAAAAAAAAAACCAGCCCTTGATCAAAATTTCCTTCTTTTTTTTTCAATATTCGGGCTATATTTCATGTATACTCGCGCAGCAATAAAAAATTCTATTGCAAATAGCAATATTAAAAACAAAATTTGACCAGTTAATGCGACTTGAGGCACATCTACCAACTTCAACAAAAAAGGCGAAAAAAAGCTGGAGAAACAGACACTGCGCCGTGCTAGTGGTAGGCGAAAGACACAACTCACGCATGACATTCAGTAGCAATTATGTGTACTAGTGTTACTGGTGAATTAGCATGTAGAGATGGTAGAATAACAGGGCCTGCTGCATTTTAGAGAAAGTAACATTATTAAAAATTATAACCGGAATAGTTGGTACGAGTTAATGTCTTGAGGCATATCTGGTTATCTGCTCTATACACTGGTGCTGCGTCCTGTCTGTTGTCTTTTTTGTGCTAAGTAAATATATACCTCCGAAAAGCCTGATCACTCATGGCTCCTCTTCAGCGACTGCAAGCACGGCGCCTTTTAAGCTCTAGCCACGCAAGAAACAAATGAAACGTGGTCACGGGCCTTTGTTTATGCTTGCGAGCACCTGCCAACCAAGTCATGGGTTAGAGCTGTGGGCCGTCAGATCAGGCTCGGTAATTAGGCCTAACTCGTCTGCGCGTGCGTTGGCCTGCGAATAAGATCACAAGAAAGAAAATCGCTGCGCCTACATCACTCATTCTAGCCGCATGATCAGGCTTAGCGGAATCTGAATGTACATCGGGGTCAAAAGAAGTAGCGACAACGCTACTAAAGGTAGTAGATCTGTTCGCTCATCTTCATGGTCCCCACAATATAATTCGAACAAGTTTACTCGCGTTGACTCGATATTTTCAACGGCTCCAACGCCAGTTTTGATTTGTTAAGTGCTCCCTCCTCATTGTGATTGCCTCAATGGCTTTGTGTGTGGGTCCTTCAGCCTTACAAGCATGATGACCACAAGATCTTTTATCATTTATTTAAGAGGTTGTGAAACATGGTGTCCTTACTATCTAAACTGACCACCATTACACAATTGTCTAACCATACTGTAGTTTCCTTGTTTACGTCCGAGGCACACGCTAATATTGATCCGTACCCGCCACCCTCGTCTTTGGCTCCCTGGCTCTACATCGTGCCAACGCAGCCTGTACATGGAAGTACTATAGAATTCAATGTCCAATTCACCTGTTTCCATTGAGAATAGAAATTTGTGTGATTTGAACTAAGCCTCGGAAACCTGACCTGCTTTGAAATTATAAACTCTGTGCAATGCCTACCCGGCCACGTGAACAACCAGTCATGCAAATTTAAAAGGTACCGACAAAATTTTGGCCAACCACACTTGATGAACAATGAGTTACAGCAAAGAACGTCCTGTATATTTCCTGGGTTGTAATCCACTTAGAGCGAAGGGAAGCTACGTAGGCAGTCGAATTCACAGAATATACGTTTAAGGAGAATGCTTTCTTGGCATTTCTTGAGGTTTAACGTCCTAAGACCACGATATGATTATGAGGGGCGCCATAGTGAAGGGCTCTGGAAATTTCAGCCGCCTGGAGTTCTTTAACGTGCACCTTATATCTAAGTACATGGGCCTAGACCTTTTCGCCTCCATCGAAATAAGAAGGATGGCTTCATGTCCCCTTTTTAACGTACGTGTTCCTGATTATAGTGAGCAAATGCAAATATTTCATCATTGCTATTTCGAATCAGCAATGTTCCGTCTTATTTTGTTAACATTCATGACAGACAAAACCTGACTACCTTCGTGACAAATGTCCCACTCTATTTATTCTTGTTTAGCTTTTCGAATCTTTGACTAGCAGTTTTTAACTCTACATAAACCCACCTGTGAATTCCGCAAAGGGTTTCAACAAACGCTTGTTGCTGTCAGTAGTCTCTACGTGTTTTTTTGTCCCAGCGTCTAATCTTTGCGGCGAGCACTGAACAAGCAAGATCACCAATTATTCCATATGCACTCTATTCTAACAATAAATAAGCAGAGGTAAAATAAAAACAACTTTCTTGGCTTTCGCTAAAACTGAGCTTTTTTCTTCACTTTCGGAGGCTGAAATATGGGTGTAGAATTTGGTGGGCGTTCGCCAAAGATTGTGTTTGGGCCTTTGGTGTAGCAGGAGTTGGGGTTTCAAACGCCCTTCCAAGATGTTTTTTTCAATTTTGCGTGTGCTTGTATATACGCACACAAAGAAACTCACGCACGAAAATATATAAGGTATGGCTGCATCTCTTCAACAGACAGACACAGAACTTTAATGGGTCCTGAGAAACCGCACTCTTTTGGAGCAATGTCACTGGCCGCTCACCCGTGGGAACGGGGAAAACTAAATTTCTGGCAACACACCTGGTCTAAGCCAACACGGTAACTGAGCACTCTCTCAGGACACAGCTGGGAACAACTCCTCTTCACACGGCGACATGGCTGCTGAAAACATTCACACATGACGATAGCAAAATCCGATTAGACTTCTTAAGCCTACTAGGCTGCTTGAGTTCGCGACGAGTGTTAATGCAGAGTTACGTTCGCTCGCATCCACTGGCGCTTCGTCGATCACGACCGGCTGAGTGGTGGGCGCGAAAGCTTAGCGCTGAGTTGAAAGCTCAACACACGTGCAACTTGGCTGCGCCTAGCAGTTAAAAGCCCACGCCGCAGACCCGGCCTGGCCGCACCGTGCGCGCTTCAATGGCGTCTCTGCTCCCACTCGCGGTAGGTCTGGCCCTACTGCCATTCGCGGAGCTCTGCGGGAAGACTCTGACTCGAAGCGGCAGGCTCACGTCACCCGGATACCCGATGTCGTACCCCCCGAACGTCCGCTGTTCATACATGCTGCGGCCACAGGTGGGTGACGATGTTACAGCGGCTCACACCGCTTCGTGAACCTCGGTGTGACGCCTGTCCCTTCTTTTCGCGTTCCATTCATGATAACAGGCATACTACGTGGTCCCGTCCATGTACGTGGCCTCACCGTTGCGTAAGAGGAGGAAAAAAACGCACCGCGAAGACTGGTGCTATGCCAGTATTTGGGGGCAGCTGCTGCTGAATATTGTTTTCTCAGATGTAAAGGGGAAGAGGGCTGAGTTCTCGGGCCACGCTCCCAAAGGAATACATGGAATAGAGGCCTGAGAACTTTTGACCGACACTCTACCAACGTGTTTGTGCAAGGTTATAGCAGTACTGTGGTAGGAATATCCAAACTGGCTGGAGTGTCACTGCCACCGAGGTGGGATCTTGAGTACACTATTTGAGATGCGTACGGGCTCAAAATAACTATGGTGATTCTCTCAAAGATAAACCGCGGCTTTTTTGCTACAGTGAGTACCAGTTTTGTAGGCTTCTTTAACTTTTATCGAAGTGAATGTATGGCGTTCATCGCTGAAACCTCAATATTGCAACCACGTGCAATTGCGAGTCCATTCAAATTCACTACCCCCCTCCTTTTTTTTTCGTACAGCGTGACTGACCTTTCCAAGAATGGGTATAACAGCCGGTATCAGCCCAAATACTGCTTCACATGGCTGTCAGTCATTGAATCGCAATTACATGTAGAGCTGTTATCATCAAAAATTATAGTTAATAGTGTGCTCCGAAAAGACTCACGGCATTCATTTTCCCTTGAGTTCAGTCAAAAGATCCTCTGTACCACTAAACATAACATCCTCAAGGGCCTTTCACCTCTAGGCTCTTGACAAAATACATTTTGTAGCTAGTCCATGATGCGTATTTTTCTTTTATTTCTGTTTTAGATATCTAGTGCTAATTATTAAACTCAGGCCTACAGAAAGACTTGACGTGACGAGTGCTGTACTACAACCCAGTTGGCGTACAGCGCGTCCTGTCATGCCTTTCTGTGTGCTTGCGCTTGACGTTTAGCACTTCATATTTAAAACAAATAAGAAAACTAGACCCTTTTATCCAATCAGAAAAGCACGATGTAATAGAGATCATGAAGGATCCTTCAAAACTACTCCAAAACATGTAGAAAGGCAAAAGACATTAGCGAGAGCGTGGAACTTATAAGCGCAAGACAATCATGTCACACTACATTTATAACTGCCTGTTTTTGCAAGTGGCTTCGATGACTCTGCAAATGTCATGTAAGGCTAAGCTTTAATTATAGACTAAGCCTGCACTGATAACTCACAGAATACCTTATGATTCAGCCTTAAACAATGCGAAGACAACTATTTTTTTTCTCACTTGATACATTGATCCTCCTACACCCCTTTCTGAATAAATTGTCGGCACCTAACAGACTTTAGCACTGCCTCGGTGATCGGTGTACCTCTAAGCGACAGTGTCATGGGTTGACGTCCTCATGTGACGTCACAAGTTTGGGTGATCTACGACGCTGCGACGACAGGCTCTTGTACTTATATTTAGCTTCACATTAAAGAACCTCAGGCGGTTGGAATTTCAGAAGACCTCCACTACGGTGTCTCATTCTCATATGTTATTTTTGGGACCTTAAACCCCAGATATTATTATTATTACGTTTCGATGACGCAATTGGGGACGCATCACGTGATGATGCTTTTTGGCCTCACTCGTGTTGACTCTGATGGTAAATTTTCCCTTTGATGGCGCATCTAAGACTTGCGCCTTTAATAAAATTAAGCTTGGCTATTGCTTTTGCAGGCTCTTACTGCAGCTCGAATGCTTACAGCATTATTAATTTGTACCAGTGCACTAAAGAATTACATAATCCAGGAACATGCCAATTAAACCACCAAAATTAAAATATGGCCAAGGTTTGTTTGTTTAAGCAAAATACGAAATGTGTTGTTTCTTTATATGCCTAAGTAGCCCACTTCAAACTCATTGAAATGTCTTGAACAAATCAAATGCTTTCTTGTAATTTATGAAAGCTGTACATAGGGAATGGTTATACTTAGCGTAGTTATGTACCTAATCGACAAAGACTTCACAGCTTGATGAAGATTACTCTGGTAATCAAGGTAAGTCCATTTACTACAATGTTGCTGAATATGTGGCCAATTGCGTTCCTTTTATTCTATTTTATTTTTTTCTTGTGAATTTGGCCGTAATTCATCACTTCGCGGGAAGTGACAACGTCAGCTGTGTGGTAGCCCAAAGGTTGTTGTGAACTGCTCAGACGATGGGTTTGACATTAGGCTTGCTTTTGTTTAAAAATTCAACCGCAGCCTAAGTTCGAAAGTGATTTATCTGATTGCTGCCGTAAGTCATTTCACCTTGTACCTTGTGGTACTTGAAGCAACACTGTGTTCTTCCTGCCGATCGGTGGCTGCGGCTCAGACAAACTGTCATGAGGCAGTTTTTCTTTTGGTTACCTGTTTTTTATAGTTTCTGGTGAAAATGATGGTGAATTGATTGATTGATTGATTGATTGATTGATTGATTGATTGATTGATTGATTGATTGATTGATTGATTGATTGATTGATTGATTGATTGATTGATTGATTGATTGATTGATTGTGAATTCGTATGTTTGAAGAATCTTCAGCTGCATTTTCTGGAGTGATCTCTGTGTCAAAAAAGCAGGTAAATGATTACCTGCAAAAATAAATTGGCTTCCGTTATCACTGCCGATTCGGTGACTCAACGATACTCTGTCATCCCAATGAAATGGTGCTAGGCATCTCTGACTTTCACAAACGAAGTCCTTGAGGAAATCGTCGTTGGAGAAAACATGCCATTCGTCTGAGCGCGCTTGCTTGCACGTGATACGCTCTTAAAGAATGTGTTAAGCTACAAGCACAAAAAGCTCGAGAAAACAAGACGAGGAAAGGATGGGAAGTTAACCAGACGAACGTCTGCTTTGCTACCCTGCACCGAGAATAAGGAAACAGGTAGCAGAAACAGAGATGGAGAAGGCGGCCACTGCACGTGCATAGGAAAACAGTCTGACAGAGACCTCAGTTTCAGTTACCTTCACGACTTTAGCGCTCTCCCATTTATTGGGAATCGCGAAATCCTTGGGCGAGCCATGGTGATTACTGAAGTGCTGAGAACACTGTGTTAGATAATATCTAGAAATTGTGTGGCAGTTTGACCTGTCGGGTTCTTTAGTTTATTCAAGAACACGAGTATGTTGTTTCTAAGAGTCAAAAGCATCGCTACAGTGTCCTGCTCTTTCGCTGGCAAGTCGTGGTACACGTTGAAGTCGACTAGACTAATTGTTTGCTGCGGATTTCTAAATGTGTGCCGCCCTCTAGTAATATTAGTACTACTATGCGTGCCGTCTTGAAGCCCCAAAACACTGCTTTGTGTTTTTATCGGCTTTGTGTTTGTTATTCCTAACTTTCTGCGATGAACTCCATGATGTTCTCAACTTTCTCGTTTCAAAATTTTCTCATTCTCCTTTGTTTCTTTCGGGTGATTTTAATTTCCCCACAATAAATCGGCTGCGCGATTTGCCTTGGTTGTTGGTTGGTCTGTTCAAGTTCAATATTTCATTGACTTTGCTTAAATTTTTATCTCGCAGACTTGTTTGTGAACCTGCGAGAACTGGCAATACTTCAACAAATACTCTTGATTTGGTGCTGCTTGTCAATAACCCTAAGGTAGTACATTCATTGAACTGTTTAGTCTGAATAAGCAATCATTGTTTAATACATTTTTGTTAAGGTCCACCTAGACTGTGATAAAGCAATCCAACATTTATCAGGGATTAGTCGAGAAGTGATTACACTACAAATATTAAAAAGCTTGCACTGTTCATTGACAAGTGCATGCCAGAATTCTTCAACGCACCATAGAATATTTCTGCTTGTTTAAAAATAAAGCCATGTCACTTGTTGTTAAATATATTTCACAGCGCAGGCTTTCCCGCAGGAAACGTTCCCCTTGGTTTTCACCGACATAGAAGAGATTGTCAAGAAAGAACAATCTCTTTTTTCATCTTGGGATACGCACTCAAAGTATTACTCGTGATACCTTCACTTCTCTCTACCAATCCCGTTAAAGTTTGGAGCATTTTTAAATAAAAGAAATAATAATTCCTTACAGACTCTGACGGTTGCACAATGAGCAACGAAAAATATTGCATGCTATTAAATAACTCGTTTGCGAAATCATTTTTTGTTATTGCTGTACTGGCACAGTGCCATACATCTACGATTTTTTCGCCTATGAGTCTCTATATAGTTGATCTTGCGGTACTTTTAGGTAATTCATAGTTTAAAGCAGTCTTCTTCGTTTGGTATGAATGAAATAGGTCCGAGTTTTTAAAAACACTGCTGTGTACTCCTCTGTATATGTTATGTATCTTTTCACTCAGTCTATTGAGGGCTCGACTTCACCTGCAGACTGGAAGGTGGGGAAGGTGGTGCCTTTATTAAAATCAGGTAACCCGCATTCTCCTCTCAATTACAGACATATTTCGCTCACCAGCAGGATTGCCACTGACTTTCTGGAGAAATTTGCCAGACGATGAGCAAAATGGCGCCAAAACTCGCCATTTTTCTTCAAATTGCGCCAAAACAGTCGCCACGTGTGGCGTGCCTAGTAATAAAAATTTCCAATTATACATAGCACCGTGAAGTAGGGTGCCATCTATAAACCCTAAATCATACTAACGTTTTTCACCGCCAGTCACATCAGCCGCTTTACCATGGGAGCACCAGCTGAGAAAGGGCATGCATGCACTAGCAGCGCCCTTGAATGCTAACGTCTCAGAAAAGACGTTTGTGACGGTTTCAGTTACAGCGAATACAGGATGAAGCAGTCACACCGCGCATAGCCCTCCTGCACATTTAGAGAATTTCACTGAAACAGAATTTCACTGCAGTGCAATCATGAGCCTGATAATCGAAGAACTTGACTACGAAGCAACGGAAATGAATTCAAAAGTACTGC